CTCTGATGACTGGCGCGGCGCGGCGGCGTCCTTCGTCGAGGCGGGCGTCGTCGAGGCGGCCGTCGAGGCCATCGGCGGCAACCCGTTCATGTCCGCACGCAAGGAGGCGTGCGCCTGGATGGCCCTGCTCCTGCGGCGCTACCCCGCGGCGATCCACCGCGCCGTAGACGCCGGCCTCGGCGCCGCGCTCGCGTCGTGTGCGGCCAAGTGCGTCGCCGGTCGCCTGCGCGCCGAGATCAACGACTTCCAGGGCCCGGCGTTCGCGGCGCACCAGACGGACGTGCTCAAGCCCTACGCGTCCGAGGAAGACTGCTGCGCCTACGCGCCGCGCTACGCGAGCCTCTGCCGCGAGGGCTGCGCGATCCTCGCCCAGGCGGCGTGCGGCGCCGCCGCGCTCCTCCGCCGCCGCGCCGCGCTGCTCGGGGGCGGGGGCGCGGCGGCGGTCCTGGCGCTCGCGACGGACCGGGTCGCCGCCGACGCCGCCTTCGCCAACGGGCGCGCGGTGACGGTCGCGGCCGGCGCGCTCGCCGCGATCGTCGCGCCGTCGCTCGACGCCGCCGTGGCGGGCTCCGCGGACGTCGCGGACGTCGACGCGGCGCTCGCGGTCCTGGCCGCCGCGGACGGCGACGCGATGGGCGCCGTCCTCGGCGCGCTCGAGACGCTCGTCGACGAGCACCCCGAGGACGACTTCCTCCGCGTCGTCGCGCGGCCCAACCCGTACGCGCACAACATGGGCTTCCCCGCGCCGGCGATGGACAACGACAAGCGCGAGGACGCCGCGCGGGAGCGGCGCGCGGCCATCCCCGCGCTCGCGGACTGCGTCGCGTCGCTCCTGGCGTCGCCCGCCGGCGCCGGCGCCGATCGAACGCGCGTGAAGGCGGTCCTCCGGCGCGTGCTCCGCGGCGAGGGCTACGACCGCGTCGACCTCGTCGGCAACGGGAACGGCGTCACGCTGGCCTGGCTGTTCGCTCGGGTCGCGGCGGCCCGCGGCGTCTCGTCCGCGGAGGTGCTCCTCGAGCACCAGCAGGTCGCCTTGGACGAGCACCTCACGGAGATCCCCCTCGCGGGCGCGAGGCCCGACCCGGACGACCCGGACGACCCGGCGGACCGCGGCCTGGCCTACCTGCCCGCGATCGACCGCGACGCCGCGCTCGTCGCGCTTTCCCTCCTGGAGCCGCTCTCCGACGAGGACGCGGCGTCGGCGCGCGCGGCCGCCGCGCGCCTCAAGGACCTCGGCGGCCAGTGCTTCGACGACGACCGGAAGGTCTTCCGCATCGCCGCGGGCCACTACGCGCGCGCGGCCTGCCTCGCGGACGCCGGGCGGGCGCCGGCCGCGGACGTCGCGGTGCTGCTCTCGAACTTCGCCGAGGCGTCGCTCCGCAGCGGCGCGCCGCGGCGCGCGCTCGCGGCCGCGGAAGCCGCGCTCGCGCTCGGCGGCGGCGGCGGCGTCGACGCCAAGTCGCGCGTGCGCCGCGACCGCGCGCGGCGCGCCGTGGACCGCGGGGCTCCGGACGCCGCCGCGGACCTGTCCGCGGAGCCGCGGCGCCTCGACGCGGCCATCGGGGCGCGCGCGGCGGAGGCGCGGATCTCGCGCGCCGAGGACCCGACGCTACGCGAGACGGACGAGGACCGCGACGCGCACCGCGAGCGCATTGACGACACCGAGGGCGAGGACGAGATCATCGTCGCCGGGCTCCAGGGCAACACGCGCGTCGTCAAGCGGCGGCTCCGCGAGGGCGCGGACGCGAACACGCGGAACACGATGACGCAGGAGACGCCGCTGATGCACGCCGCGTGCTACGGCCACCTCGACGTGGCCGAGGTCCTCCTCGCGCACGGCGCGTGCGCGCGCACGACGGACTGGCGCGGCCAGGACGCGCTGGCATACGCCGAGCGCGCGCACAAGAACAAGGACGCCATGGTCGCCCTGCTCCGCGACGCGCGGGACGCCCAGGGGCCGGACCCGATCACGCCCGACGGCGTCGGCGGCGGCTGCAGCCAGCAGTAGGGTAAGGGCACAAAAAGAGCGAGCTGTGGCGAAATTTGTGCATACCAGCGCGACTACTAGTAGTAGGTATGGTGTCCTCGCGGCGCCGTCGCGCCCGTCGGCGTCGTCGCGTTCGCGACGGAAACACGACTGATGACGAGCTTGAGCGGATGCACGAGGAAATGTGGGCGGCGAACTACCATGCCCTTAATCCCCCCGAGGACGACTCCGTGGCGTCCTCGAGCGAGCCCGATGCCTTAGGGCAGGCACTGATGTCCGCCGCGAGTAGTAACCAAGTTGAGGAAGTGGAAGACCTACTGCTCGCGGGCGCTGACCCGAACTATTTGGACAGAAGCTCCATGGGAGCTCTGCACTTTGCCGTACACAACGCGAAGTACGAGGTGATTCCCGTGCTGCTCAAAGCCGGCGCCGACGCCAACCGACGTGGGTCAGCGCTTGAAGGCACCGGGGAATTTCTCACGCCTTTGCAGATGACGATCGTTTCTGCCACCGTGTACCACGACGACCGTGACGAATGGTTCCACGGCACCCGCACCGGTAATATCGTTCTCGGCGTCCGACCGAAGATCGTCGAGGCGCTCATCGCGGCGGGCGCGAATCCAAACGCGAGATTCGGCGACAGACCATACTCTCTGCTCATCTTTGCGCTTAAAAAGCGGAGCCGCGGCTGCGTCCTCGCGCTCCTGCGGGGCGGCGCCGCAATTCCGAGTCATCTCCCGCCCACCTCGTTCCGCCTCAGAAACCGAGACGCCCTTGCGCTGGTGGACGCTGTCAAGAAGGCCGGCGACTTCAAGCGCTACGCCCGCGCGCACCAGCGGCGCTACGGCTCCATGCTCGACAAGTGCTTCGGGGACGTCGCGATTCCGCGCGACGTCCAGGCCATCATCGCGCTGTTCCTCGCGCCGTGGGGCGGATCCTAGGCACCCCTCCCCAAGCCTAGAAGTTAATCGTCGACACGGAGAGCTCCGGCGCCAGGGAGCCCGACGCGATCGACGAGCCGCCCGACGGGGAGCCGAGCGCGGCGCCCGGGCTCGCGGGCGGCGTCGCCGGGAAGCGGATGGGCTCCTTCCACGCCGCCGGGCTCTGCTCGACGAAGGGCTGGTGCTCGTGGCGCGGGTGCGCGTGCTTGCGCACGCCCGCGAGGGAGAAGGGCGCGCCGTCGTCGTCGCGGAGCGCGGAGATGCCCGGGGGGAGCGCGGGCGAGCCGCCCCGCTGGTGCGGCGCGCCGCCCTCGACGGCGGCGGCGAGGGCGCTGAGCCGCTCCGGCGAGGGCAGCGGCGACAGGCGCACGGAGACGCTCTGCACCGGGGACCGCGTCGACGACGGCGACGGCAGCGGCGGCGGCGCGGGCGCCTGGGACGCGGAGCCCCCGAAGTCGAAGCGCACGACGGGCGACGGCGCGCCCCGGGGCGCCGCGGCCTCGTCGTGGGCCGGCGGGTCGTCGACGTGGCCCCGGCGCGCGCGCGGCTTCGGCGGCGGCGGCTCCGAGCCCGGCGCGGCGAGGCGCCGCGGCGGGCAGCCCGTCGACAGGTCCTTCTGGAGCTGGCGGCAGAGCGCCGCCGCCCGCGCGTCGAGCTTGTCGATGAGGCGGCCGCCGTCGTCGAGCTGCTGCACCAGCTCCAGGCCCTCGTCGTAGACGGCGGACGTCTCGTGCGCCGCCGGCCGCGCGGATTCCATCACCACGGGCGCGCAGGCCGCGCACCAGACGCAGGCGCAGGGGATCAACGTGCAGTTCCCCTCCTTGTCGAAGACTTTGGTCGGGTGGTGGACCACCGTGGCCTGCTTCGCGGCGGCCATGTCCTTGTAGACGGACGCGCGCATCGCGTGCCTGGGCGGGAAACAAACATATGCCACACGACTTCACTATGAGGTTCATCGACACGAGAGTTTGGCTCTCTGGAAAGAGCCCGCCGAGAGAAAACGATCCGTCCAAAAATCAGCCGAAACGACTTCGATGTGACCGAGCTAGAGAGGTTTGACGTTTTTGCCGGACGGCGCGTTCCGTCGGTCGTTTCCGGCGCGGTCGCGCGCGCGGTCCGCGGCGTGAGGCCCTGGGGCCGGTGGCGGCGGCGCCGCGCCGCGGCGTCGCGGCGCGTCGTGATGAGGAGCTCGGGCAACGCCGCGGCGACGCCCACGGGCGCCTTGAGCGTGCGCATGCGCCGCGGCGGCGGCGGCGGCGCGTCGTCGTCGCTGTCCGAGTCGGGCATCTTCTTGATGAGGTCCTTGATGACCCGCAGGAGCTTGCGCCCGTAGTCCTTGTGGGCCACGGCGACGCTGGACCGCGACTGCTCCAGCGTCACGAGCTCCACGCGGACCTTGACGTCCGACGCGGCCGTCACGTGGCACTGGCTCACGACCATGGCGCCGCAGTTGTCCATGGTCGCGCCCTTGGGCAGCTTGAAGGTGTGCTGGCGGCCGTCGACCATGGCCGTGACGCGGAAGGGCGTCTGGAGCGGGCCCCGGAGCTTGTGGTTCTTCGCCTTGCGCGGGTCGAAGTCGAAGAAGATGCCCACGTCGAAGCCCTTGCGCCGCCCGCCGGCCTTCTTCTTCGGGGACAGCGACTCGCGGTACCGCGTCATGTCGAGGCCGCTCAGGATCATCGTCATGGTGGCGTCTCGGGCGCGCGGGGGAGCCGGGCCTTGCGGAGCTAGGAACGTGGAGGAGCCATAAAGCGCGCTGGGAGCTCTCTCACTTCCAGGGTGATGTTTCTTCGATCTTGCATTCTCTTCTAGCAGTCACCGCTCATCGAGTGAGGGAATGGTCGCGTGAATCAGGCCGCCGAGGCAGCCGTTCCGCAGCCCGTGCGCAGCCCGCGGCCATGGCGCGGCGCGTGAAGCGCCGGGGCAAGACGCGCCGCGAGCTGGTGCGTCGCTTCATCCCCTATCGCGCCTCCCGCACCCCCCTATTTCGCAGCTCGCGCGCGAGGACGAGTTCCGGCGCCTGCGCGAGGAGCGCGCGAAGCTCGTGGAGGTCAACGGCGCGGAGCCGCCGCGCGTGCCCGCGCTGCCGCCGCCCGCGCGGCCCGGCGCGCCGCACGCCGGCGAGCCGAGGCCCGAGCCCGACGGCCGCGCTCTCACGGAGCGGTGGCTGCCGCGGCTCTTCGACGACGGCCCGCCCGGCGGCGGGAGCCCCGGCGTCAAGCCGCCGCGGCCCAAGCCCGGCGCGCCCCTGCGGGGGTCGCCGGCCCGGGAGATCGCGCGCGCGCGCGCGGAGAGCCTCGCGCGCGACGCGTCCGGCGAACTCCAAACATACCCGAAGCCCCACGCGTCCGCGGGCCGCCGCGCGGCCGCGGCGGCGGCGAACAAGCTGCCCCGCGTCAAGGCGGCCCTGGCCCTGGCCGGCGGCGCGTCGCCGGGCGGCGGTCTCGGGTCGCCGGAGCGCTGGCGGAAGACCGTGTCTCCCACAGTCCGCGCGCTGCGGAACGGCGACCCCTTTTCGAACTTGGCGCCCGGGGGCCACTTCCCCGCGCCGGGCGGCGGCAAGCCGACCACCTTCGAGGCCGCCCTCGCGCCCGCGCTTTTGGGGCCCCTGGGGTCGAAAAGACCCTTGGAGCGCGCGCCCTCCCTCAAGAAGCCCGCGCCGCCGCCGCCGCGCGCGGCCGCGGCGCCGCGGGAGAAGACGCCGCAACTGGCGGCGCCCCTCGTCGTCGCCGCCGTGCCCCGGGGCCTGCCCGACGAGTACCGGCTCTGCTGGCAGGACGTCTTCGACTACGAGGGCGTGCCGCACCCGAGCCGGTGGGAGTACCAGTGCGACGCGAACGACTGGATCCACGACGAGCGCCACTGCGAGGCCCAGTGGTACACGGACAAGCTCGACAACGCCTGCGTCCGCGACGGGCGCCTGCGCATCATCGCGCGCCTCGAGCGGTCCCACGGCTGCCGCTACACGTCCGCGCGGCTTCGCACGAAGCACCGGGGAGACTGGCTCTACGGCCGCGTCGAGGTCCGCGCGCGGCTGCCGCCGAGCCGGCGGGGCTTGTGGCCCGCGATCTGGATGCTGCCCACGGACGACGCCTTCGGGGGCTGGCCCCACAGCGGCGAGATCGACATCATGGAGCACGTCGGCTGGGAGCAGGACGGCCTCATCCACGCGGCGGCCCACAGTACGAAGCACAACCCCTGCGTGGGCCACCAGCGGTCCCAGTCCAAGCTCGTGCCGACGGCGCACCGGGGGTTCCACACCTACGCCATGAACTGGACGCCGAAGGCGCTCGAGATCTTCGTCGACAACGGTTTGGCGCTCCGCGTCGAGGACAAGGGCCGCGGGCCCGGCGACTGGCCCTACTCGAAGCGCTTCCACCTGCTCCTGAATCTGGCCATCGGCGGCTGGGGCGGCCAGTACGGCATCGACGACACCGCGTTCCCGGCCTGCCTCGAGGTCGACAGCGTCCGCGTCTTCCAGCGGTCCTGGCGCGAGTCGGAACCCGAGCAGTAAGACGGCAAATTTAGGAGCGGGCGGGGTAGCGCGCCGCGAGCTTCAGGCCGAGGTCCTTCAGCGCGCGGAGCGCGGCGAGGTTCGTCGCCGTCTCGAGCCGCTTCCAGAGCACCGCGGACTGGCCGTTCTTGATGAAGTAGACGTTCTCCACCAAGATGCCGTCGAGCTCGAGGTTCATGACGTGGGCGCCGAAGTGCGGCGCCTCGCCGAACTTGGTGATGTGGGGCCGGATGTCGTCGCGGTCGGCGATGGCGTCGAGCCGCTCCAAGAACCGCTCGACCGCGGCCGGGTCCGAGTCGTGCGCGAGGTGCCAGTACTTGTTCACGCGCCGCGTCGTCCGCTCGTTGTGGTTGACGACGCCCGACGCCAGGATCTTGCTGTTGGCCATGTGGATGCGCTCGCCGTTGGAAAAAAGCTTGATCTTCGTCGACGTGACCCAGACCTCCTCGACGGTGCCGCCGACCTGTGTGTAAATCAAATCTTCAACCCGACTTCAATTTGCGCGTAATCGGACGGTTGATTCCCACACAGCCGCCGACGCCTCCGACGACGACGTAGTCGCCGACCGTGAACCAGCGCCGGTAGACGATCAATAGCCCCGCGAACAAGTCCTCCAGGATGTTGCGCGACGCGTAGCCGATGACGACGCCCCAGAGGCCGAAGCCGCCGTAGAGCGCCGACACGTCGAAGCCGGACGAGTGGAGCACTAGGACCGCCTGGGCAGGACACGGGTGCGAAATTCCCAACTTTGGAGGCTCCTATCTCGGTCATTTTCCACTCGTTTCGGCTCATGTTTGGACGAGCGATCATCCCTCGGAGCGCTCTCGAAGCGTGGGTCCTTTCTCCGGAACAATCGCGCGCAGAACACCCACGTCGAAGCGACGTTGAATCACCCGTGTCCCGCCCGGAGCACCCGCCGAGAGGCACCAGACGAAGCCCCGCACCGCGAAATTCAAGATCTTGAAGCCCGCGACCTGCTCGCGCCCCAGGTCCATGAGCGCGGCGATCTGCGCGACGGCGACGTCGAGCGTGACGCACGCGGGCAGCAGCGCGCGCGCGACGGCCGCCGTGCGGAACGCGCGCGACGTCAGGTCGGAGTGGCCCGCGAAGCAGAGGCTCGCGGGCCCGGCGAGGCAGACGACGTTATCCAGCGCCTTGAGGAGCACGTAGACGAGGGGCCGGTCGCGCGCGGGCGGCGCCCCATTCGTTTCCGGGTTCGGCGTCTGGAGCAGCGCGACGGCCGCCAGCGACGCGCGGCGGTTTTTCGCGCGCTCCTGGCACGTGCCGGACCGCTCGCGCGACGCCTCCTCGGCGCAGGCCGACGCCGGCAGGCGGCAGGTCGGGAAGAAGATGAGCAGCAGGCGCGCGAGGGCCGTGGCCTGGTCCTCCTCGACGGCCTCGCCGCTGAGGAGGGCCCGCCCCTTATCCCGCGCCTCGCCTTCGAGGTAGCGCTCCAGGAGGCTCAGGCCGACGTAGCACGTCGCGCTCAGCACGCAGAACGTCGTGCCGGCGAGCATCGCGCCGGGCTGCCCGGCGACGGCGGTCGGGCTGCGGATGGCTGCTATAGTTTCGTCGAGAAGGCCCGCACCTTGGTTGGAGCATGTTGTAGTGTAACATCTACCTGACACAGCCGAGTGCATGAGCCCCGCGGGTGCCGGCATGAGCGCTCCGTCGAACTAAAACGCTGCGATGCGCACTAAGGAAAGCCCTGAAAGACGGGCGCAGCGCCGCGAGGATCGCATGCTGTCGCTGCGGCTCCGCGAGTACTGGGCGACCGTGTCCTTGCTCTACTGGGGCGCCGAGGCCCCCGAGGCGCCCGCGGCGCCGGAGGAGGACTGCGCGCGCGCGACCTTCGTCTGCGGCCCGCCGGTCGCCGCCCCCGCGTACCCCCGAAGCGTACCGCCTCGACGCGCCGCCGACGGCGCCCATCGTCCTCGCGCCCATCGTCCTCGAGCCGTCGGCCGCGGCGGAGGCCGCGGCGCCGCGGCCCGCGTGCGCCCGCGGCGCCGCCACGTCGTCCGAGCCGGCCGCGGCGGAGCACTACAGGAACCCGGATATGCACGCGCTGATCCAGGCCGCGAGCCGGACGCGGGAGACGAAGGGCCCCTGGTCCGAGGCCGATGACGCGACGTACCTCGAGCTGCTCGTCCGCGTCGGCGTCCCCGCGGTGGACAACGAAGGCTCCGTCAAGGCGTACCTCGACGCGTTCCCGGCGCGGGCGTGGCGCACCATCAAGAAGCACAGCAACACCTACAAACAGACGCACCTGTACGAGCAGTGGCGGAGGGACAACGGCGGCGCGTGGGCCGGCTTCGCCTGGCGGTCGCGGGCGGTCCGCGCGGCCGAGATCCGCGTGGACAAGGCGCTAAAGGCGCCGCCCAACGCGCCCGGGGCCAAGGCGCGCGCGGCCGACGCGCCCGCGGCCGACGCGCCCGCGACCGAGGCGCCGGCCGAGGACGGCGACGGCTCGGAGGCCGGCGAGGTGACGAAGCAGACGAGGAACCAGAAGAAGAGGAAGCAACGACAGCAGGAGGACGAGAACGCGCGGCTCGAGGCCGAGAACGCGTGGCTCAAGGACGCCGCGGCCGAGGCGCCGGCCGAGGACGGCGACGGCTCGGAGGCCGGCGAGGTCGCGGCGGACGAGGGCGCGGATCTGCTCCGCTTCCGCCACCGCAGCACGGTCTTCGTCGTCCACTGCAGCGCCGCGACGCGGGGCGAGGTGCTGTCGCGGCGGCTCTTCGGCACGTCCGGCGCGCACATCCACCGGCTCCGGGACGCGAGCCACGCCGTCTTCCTGCTCTACGACCTGAGCGCGCGCGAGGTCCTGGGCCCGTTCCTCGCGCACAACCAAAGGGCCCGCATGGACATCGAGCCGGGCGCCTTCGGCGGCCGATTCCGGGCGCAGGTGCGCTGGACGCCGCACCCGAACTACGCGAAGCACCGCGCCGTCCGCCACAAGAAGATCCTCCCGGAGGGCGTGGTCCCGCGGGACGACGCGCTCCGGCTCCTGGCGACGCACTGGCCGCTCGCGCTCAAGAAGAAGGAGCGCAAGGTGCTCAAGCACTGTAAGAGCAAGCCGGAGAAGTTCGTGAAGGCGATCGCGGACGTCGAGTCCGGCGGGCCGGCGTCGTCTTTGCGGAAGCGGAAGCGCGCGGCCGCGGACGCGCCGCCTCCGAAGAAGGCGGCCCGGGAGGCGCCCGCGGCCCCGCGGCCGGGCGAGCCCGACGACTTCGAGGCGCCGCCGGCGCTCCCCGACTCCGGGGACTCGTGGGCCGCGCGCGCCGAGCCCGCCGAGCAGCCGCCCGCGTGGTGGCGCGCGGCGGCGGCGGTCGCCGAGGGGCAGCACCGGCAGGTCCAGGCGGCGATGGTCGAGCGGCGCGTCATCGGCGGGTGGCACGCCGTGCCGCCGGCGCCGCCCGCGCCGGAGAGGCCGTGGCAGCCGCCGCCGCCGCGTCCCGCCTGGGGCGGCCAGGGCGCCGGCTGGACGAGCGACGGGCCGCGGGGACCCGACGGGCGCGCGTCGCCGCCGGCGCCGCCGGGCGGCTGGCCGCCCGGCCCCACGTACCGAGTCTGGACGCCCGAGAGCGACGGCCGGCCGCCGCCGCGGCCGCCGCCGCCGGTGCCGAACGCGGGCACGCGCGCCCGGCCGGCGCGAGTCTGGACGCCCGACCACGACGCGCGGCCACCGCCGCCGGACGGGCCCAGCGCGGGCGCGCCGGCGCCGGCGCCGGCCTTCGCGTTCGCGTCGCCGGCGCCGGCGCCGGGCGGCTCGACGGCGGAGGCCGCGCGGTCGTGGGCGATCCCGCGGCGCGTCGGCGACCGCATCCTGCACGAGGGCGCGCGGAAGCGCGACACCTGGAACACGTAGAGGTCCCATTTTAGATTGTAAGGCTCGTTGCGGTACATGTCATTGTCTGGTCATGAATTGAACGACCGTGACGGCAACGTGCGGCGCCTACTACGACCTCCTCTCCATCCCGGGCGGCGCCGAGGCGGCCTCGCGCGTGGCTTAAGATGTTACTCCGTCTCGTCGTCGTCGAGGGCCGCGGCGAACGCGCGCGCGTCGGACACGCTCATGTGCTGCCGGCGCACGGCGTCGACGACGTCGTCGTCGACGACAAGCCGAGCGAGCGTCGATTGGGCGAGCCGATCGAGCACCTCTCTGGCACGCCGGGCCGGACCCTCGTTGCCCTTCAGTGCAGCGAGCTGGTACCAACGCACGGCCTCTTCCAAATCGGCTTCGACGCCTTTGCCGTGCTCATAGGCATCGCCAACGTTTAACTGCGCGGCGGTAAATCCTTGCTCAGCTGATAATTTGAAATAAGAAAAAACCTGAACCGCCGAGTCCCAGCCGCCGCGCCCAGCACGGTCCAAAATGAACGCGTATTGGTACTGCGCACCATGGTGGCCCCGGTCCGCAGCAGCGCGGTACAACGCCGCCGCCTTGTCGGGGTCCAAGGCAAATGATTCGCGCTGGTAAATGAATGCAAGACAAAACATCGCTTCCACATTCCCGAGCTCGACGGCACGATGGTAAAACGTGACGCTTCGTTTCGCGTCTTTCACGAGGCCAAGATGACCGTATTGTTGAGCATAAGCAAGAGAAAAAACAGCCTCCGGGACGTTGGCTTTGGCGTGGCGTTTAAGATTTGCCAAAAACACCTCCTGAGATTCATCGCTCGGTCTTCGACAGAAACAACACGGTTTACCATGCCCCATCTCTTTGAGGAGCTGATCTCTGCAGGAACAACAGACCTGCGTGCAACAGCAGGAACGAAACGCGTGCGTCACGTTGACATCCCAGTCCTCCAAGCAGATCGGGCACCGCGACCCCATACGCTCCGAGAGCGGCGGCTTCCTCTCCGGTTCTGCCTCGCGTCGCGCGCGGGCCGCTTCGTGCTCCGCGCGGATGCGCGCGCGCGCCTCGTCCGCGCGCGACCGCTGCGCAGCCCGGCGCGCATCGGCCGCCTCCCGCATCTCGCGGAGCAGCAGACAGACTTTATGGTGGCCGCGCTCCGTCCAAACAACTCGTTGACAGGCCTCGGAGCAGAACAGCTTCGTGGAGCAGGGGCAGGTGATTTCCGCGGGGGCCGAGCAGTTCGCGCAGCCCTTAAATATCATGTGATAGTCGAGCTCCACCTTCGAGAGGCGCGCCGCGACCATCAGACTTCCCGCGACGGTCGATGTGGCCTTGGCGTCCTCCATCGGCCCGAGACCGCGCCCCAAGCAGGCAAAAGGTGAAGCACTTCGAGCCAAAGTGAACCAGCGCAGCAATCTAGGCCGGCATGGCTGCCCGCGCGCAAAGATGACAGCCATGAGGTCCTCCCTCGTCGTCGCAATCCTCACAATGTCGTGCGCCGCCGCCGGTGCGCCGACGCTGCTGCTCGCGCTCATGGTGCGCGACGAGGAGGCGAACCTACGGGCGAACCTGCCGGCCTTCTCCGGCCTCGCGGACTTCGTCGTCTGCGGCATCGACGACCGGAGCCGCGACGGGTCGGCGCGCGCCGTCGCCGAGGCGCTGCCCGACGTCCCGCGCTGGGTCTTCTACTTCCGCTTCGACGGCTTCGGCCGGGGCCGCACGGGCGTGTTCCGGGAGGCGTGGCGGAAGTTCCCCGAGGCGTCGCACGTCCTGGTCCTCGACCCGGACTGGGAGCTCGACGCGCCCCGGGCGAGCCGGGCCCACCTAAACGCGGACGAGCGCACCTTCCTCTTCAAGGTCTGGGACCGCAACGGCATGACGAGCCGCACGATGAACTGGCTCGTGCGGCACGAAGCGAACCTGACGTTCGAGCACCAGCTCCACGAGCAGCTCGTGCAGCCGAACGCGGGCCCCGGCCCCCAGCGCGCCCACGTGCTCCCCTGGGAGTTCGCGGAGCGGGAGGTGCGCGGGCGGGACACGTGGCACAGCGCCGCGACCTCTCACGGCCACTCGCAGTCGTACGCGCCTGCGTGGATTCCAAATCTTCAACTCGACTTCAATGTGCGCGTAATCGAACGATTTGGACCAGACTTTTTCGCTGCGCTTCGAGAACTCGACGAGAGCAATCGATTCGTCCAAAAATCAGCCGAATCGACTTCGATTTGACCGAGAGAAAGAGTTCTGAAGTTTGGTGGGACCCCCCAAACCAGTGGTTGGAATCCACACAGGTACGCGCGCTACCTCTTCGACCTCGAGCTGCTGGACATGGACCTCGCGGACCTCGGGCCCGACGACCCCCACACGCTCTTCTACCTCGGCGTCACGCACCTGAGCGCGCTCGACGCCATGCTCGGCATCGGCGAGCACGAGCGGACGCCGCAGACGGACTACCACGTCGCGGAGGGCGTGAAATATCTGACGGCGCGCGTCGACGAGGCGCTCCTGGCCCGGGAGCGGGCGACCTTCGCGGGCGCCCACGAGCACACCTGGGGGGCCCTCCGCTGGCTCGCGCACGCGCACCACTTCTCCACGCGCGACTTCGCGCGAGCGCGGACGTTCTACGGGCGCTGCGCCGCGTACGACCCGGGCAGGCGCGACTGCGCCGTCTTCCTCGCCAAGCTCTGCCGCGACGAGGGCCGGCACGGCGAGGCCTTCGCGCTGGCCTTCGAGGCGCTCGCGGCCGAGGCGGCGCCGGCGGCGCCGCGCGACGCGCTCAAGATGGTCGACAACTTTTACGTGCCCCGGTGCACGCTCCCGCTCGAGGCCTCCCTCGCGCTCCTCCCGGCGCTGGAGACCGCCGCGCGCGACGGCGGCTGGCGCGCGCTGCGCCTCTTCGGGGTTCTGCTCCTCGAGCGCGCCGCGCGCGACTGCGACGACCCGGAGCGGCGCTTCGTCACGGAGCAGCCGGCGTTCGTGGCCGCGGCGCGGGACCGCTACGCGGCGCTGGGCCCGCCGGGGGCCTGCGCGCCGCGCGGGGACGCGCTCGCGGCGGCCGGGGGAAACGCCACGGCACTGGCCACCATGGTCGCCGCGGGCTTAGTCTTGTGTTAGTTGACGGCGATGCGGCGGCAGATGGCGGCGACGAGGGACCGGCGCGTGGCCGCGGTCCTCTTCGGAGGCGCGGAGTCGAAGTCGGGGCCCAGGAGGTGGGCGAGCGCGAACTTTTGGGGCCGCGGGAGGCCCGCGCGGTGCGGCGCGGCGTCGTCGGCCGCGCGCAGCCGCATCGTCGCGCGGTAGGGCGTCGTCGACCGCCGGCCGAACGCCTCCGCCGGGTCGAAGACGGAACCGCTCCGCTCCGCGCGGAGGCCCGGGCGCCGCGGGCTCGACGCCGGGTCGGACACGTCGAAGCCGTCGGCGTCGCGGTCGCCGCCGCGCAGGAGCACGCCGCCGGGCGGCGCCTTGGGCCGCGGCTCCGGCGGCGCGAAGAAAGGCCAGTCGCCGAGGCGGAGCGCGGCCTCGCGCGCGTCCGTCGGGTGGCCGTTCGACCGCAGGTGGCGCTCCAGGGAGCTCGCCGGCGCCGCCTCGTCGGCCTCCCGGAGCCAGCGCCGCGGCGACGCCGTCGCGGTCGTCGACTTGGGCCGCGGCCGCGCCGGCGGCGCGGCGCGGCGCGGCGGCGCCGCGGGCCCCTGGGGCGCGGACGCGGGCCGCGCCTTGGGGTGCATCTGGTCCGGGCGCGGCGCCGCGAGGCGCGCCCAGGCCGCCTTGCGCTTCGACTTGCGGTCCTCGAGCTCCTCGACGTGCGCGACCTGTGTGGAAATCAAACGGTGAGCTGGGTTATCCCAACCAAACTTCAGAACGCTCTCGCTCGGTCAAATCGACGTCGATGTGGCTGATTTCTGGACGAATCAATTGCTCTCGTTGGGCCCTCGACGCACGGTCGAAGATATCGGTCCAAACCGTTCGAATGCGCGCACATTGAAGTCGGGTTGAAGCCACGCGGCGCGCGACGTCCATCGCGTTCCGCACGGACGCGCGGTCGTAGTGCGCGTCCGCGTCGTGGTCCGCCGCGTCGATGCCGTGGAGGTGCGCGAGCATGGTCCCCAGGCGCTTGCTGTCCTCGGCCCGCAGCTTGGGCGCGAAGGAGTGGACGCCGCGCTTGAGCTCGCGCTCGTGGCGGAGCGCCTCGCGGTCCGCGATCTGCTGCCGCGCGCGGTCGTACCAGCGGAAGAAGACGATGGCGAACAGAAGTTTCCGCGGCTTGGCGTCGTAGAGCTTCGAGTGGCGCGGCCGCGCGGGGACGCGGACCTCCTCGAGGCGCGCGACGCGCTCCGCGGCCGAGTCCTTACTCCGCGCGTGCGCGGAGTCGCCCTTGAGCTTGATCTCGATGACGAGCTCCAGCAGCCCGCAGAACGACCGCAGGAGCACGCTCATCTCGGGCTTGCCCGACGAGTCGGACACGGAGTCGAGGCGCCGCTTCAGCCGCATGTGGCTGTCGAGCCAGATCTGCAGGAAATACGACGACGGCCGCGCGACCTTCGCCTCCGGCATCTTGATGAGCGACGCGACGTCGACCTCGGTGACGCCCTTGTCCTTCTTCACCTTCTGGAGCAGCAGCTTCGCCGTGAGCGCCTCGCGCCGCTTCTTGCGCTTCTTGGGGCGCGCGACGGAGTCATCGTCGTCGGCCTCGGCCGGCCCGCCGCCGATGCTCAATTTCAAATTCGCCGCCAGCGACGCCGCGGCCTCGGCGTCGTCGTCGTCGTCCTCCTCCTCCTCGTCGTCGTCGTCCTCCTCCTCCTCGCCGCCGGAGTCCGTCCGGAGCTCGTCGTCGTCGCCGCCGTCGACGTCCGGGACCTGGGACCCGCGCCGCGGCGCGTCGCGCGCCTTCACCGCGCGCTGGTAGCGCTCCAGACCCGCGGCCATCTGGTTCTGGAAGGCCACGGTCTGCCGCGTCACGCCCGCGGGCGGCGGCTTCTGGTTCGACGGCGCCATCACGATCGTCTTCTTCTTTTTCCGCTTCTTCTTCGGCTCGTGCTCGCTCTGCGTCGACGACCGCCGCTCCGGCGCGAGGCTCCGCGCGAGGAAGTCGGGCGTCGAGGGCGCCGCGAACTGGTCGCGCCAGCCCGTCTCCGTGACCTGCAGGGCCCAGGGCAGGCACTGGCTCCGCGACCCGCGGCGCACCGCGCGGGTGAGCGTGCTCGACGCGACCTGGAGCTCGAGCTGCGGGTTGTAGGCCAGGGAGCCCTCGTCGCCCGCGGACCCGTCCTGCGACGCCTCGGACCGGAAGAAGGCCGTGGGGCGCCAGCCCTTGTTGCTGTCGTCGCTGAGGGACCCCTCCGTGCCGATGATGGACATCGGGTGCACGCTCTGGTGCCGCCCGTCGCGGCTCGCGGTGATCGTGAGGAGCTGCTGCCCCGACGGGCGCCGCGCCGAGGACGCCATGGGTACTGCGGACGTTGAGGGCTGCCGACGACGCCGGCGGTCGACGAGCGGGAGAGCTCGAATGAAACTGCGCAACGAGCCGTCGTTGAACCACTCGTATCTCAGCGAGCGAGCTACGGGTTCTGGCAATGTCCGAGTGGCTGGGCCTCCGGTCCCTCGACGAGGATGCGCCGCTGGTCGACGCGGCGTCGTCGAGCTTCTCGCTCGCGCTGGGCAACACGATGGTGCTGCGCATCCCCATGGACCGCGACAAGCAGCTGCGCGGCGTCGACGCGGGCGGCGCCGGCACCGACGACGGCTCGAGCGAGACGGGCGCCGTCGTCTGGGACGGGTCCGTGCTGCTGTGCCGCGCCGCGGAGCGCATCGCCCCTGCTTCGCGCGTCCTCGAGCTCGGCGCGGGCTGCGGCGCCGCGGGCATCGCCGCGGCGCTCGCCGGCGCGCGAGCGACGCTGAGCGACCGGCCGCACCGCGTCGCGGCGCTCGAGGCGAACGCGGCCGCCAACGGCGTAAACGTCGCCTGCGTCGCCCTCGACTGGCGCGCGCCCTACGACGCGGCGCTCGGCGAAAATTTCGACGTCGTGCTCTGCGCGGACTGCGTCTACGACCTGGACCTCGTGGGCCCGCTCCTGCGCGCGGCGGCCGCGGCGCTCGCGGCCGGCGGCGTCGTCCTGGTCGCCGTCGACACGGCCGTGCGACGGGACAAGGCCTACGCGGCCTTCGAGGCCGCGGCGCCGTGCCTCTTCGAGGTCGTCGAGGAGGAGTCCTTCGCGTCGCGCGCGGCGTGGAGCAAAGGCGACGACAAGGAGGCGCTGCGGCTCTGGCGGCTCCGGCGGCCGCGGCGGCGGACCGTCGTGGTCATGGGCCCCTGCGGCGTCGGCAAGTCCACGGTCGGCGCGGCGCTCGCGGCCGCGCTGGGCCTCGACTTCCTCGACGCGGACGACTACCACCCGCCGGCGAACGTCGCGAAGATGGCGCGCGGCGAGGCCCTCGACGACGGCGACCGCGCGCCCTGGCTCGCGGCCGTCGCCGCGGCCGCGCGGCGCCGCCGCGGCGCCGTCGTCGCGTGCTCGGCGCTCAAGGCGGCGTACCGCGCCGCGTTCGACGGCGCGGCGACGTTCGTCTTCCTCGACGTGCCGCCGGCCGTCGTCCGCGCGCGCGTCGCGCGGCGGACCCACTTCATGCCCGCGTCCCTCGTCGACAGCCAGTACGGCGCGCTCGAGCGGCCGGACCCGGCCGCCGCCGTCGTCGTCGACGGCACGGCGCCCGTCGCGGCCCTCGTCGCGACGATTCTAGGGCGCTTGGCTTAGACGAGGACGTAGTTCGCCGCGCTCTTGGCGGCGTCGAGGGGCGGGTGCTGCAGCCGCTCGACCTTGCGCGTGCGGAGGAGCGGGAGGACGCCCGCGACGACGAAGGCGACGCTGCCCCAGAGGTAGCAGTAGGTGCCGTAGACCGCCGTCTCCTCGGCGCAGCCCAGGTCGGGCATGTAGAGCACGGAGCCGACGAGGAAGAGGCAGCTGCCGAACATCGTCGCGTTCGTCGTCGCCAACACGGAAACCTTCGCGAGGCGCGCGTCCTTGGAGCCGCCGGAGAAGGCGTCGCCCGTGTGCGCGCCGTTCAAAAAGCACGCGAAGATGAAGAGCGCGGAGCCGATGATGAAGCCGCCGGAGCCGTAGCGGCCCGCGGTCTCGGACCCGAGGCGCGACGACACCTCGGGGATGTAGAGCACCGTCGCGCCGTTGAAGAAGACGGAGCCGACGAGGTACAGAAAGTTCATCGTGACCTCGAAGCGGTGCGACACGTGCGACGCCTCCTCCATGTCGAAGAGCGACGTCGCGAAGTAGATGACGCCGCCGACGAGGTACAGGTAGCAGCCCGCCTCCACGTAGGCCGAGAAGCTCGGCAAAAAGTAGACGGACCCCACGACGAAGAGGAGCCCCGCGAAGACGTAGGCGTAGCCGAGCAGCGACTCGACCCAGTGGACGTCGGCGACGTCGGCCTCGATCCACTCGACGACCTGGGCCACCTCGCCCTGGCACGTGAGGTGCTTGTGCGCCTTCGCCGCCGCCGAGAGGTGGAAGACGCGCGGCCGGGCGACCTGCGGGCGCGGCATTGCGACTGGGCTCGTGGCCGGAGCGGCGTAGCTGCGCGTGAGGCGCTGCTTGTTCCGGTGCTGGAGGAACTTGGGGAAGTGCTCGAGCTGCTCGTTCACGAGCTCGCAGCGCAGCCAGGCGACGGAGGACCAGCCGATCGGGGCAGCGTGCCGACGAGCCAAAGTTGCACATGCATGATGCTGCGGATGCAGCTCTCCCGGCCGAAGCGCTTCGCAAGCTACGTGTCGTCCTGCCGCGCCCCGCATCGGTTCGCGCGCGCCGCGTCGCACGCGCCCCGTCGCGCAGCCGCATCGGTTCGCCGGCCCGGGCGCCGCGTCGCCGCGCGACCCCCGGCCCCGACCATGTACAAGCGCCTGCGCAAGGAGGCGGCGGAGGCGCGGCGGTCGACGGACCCGGACCTGCTGCTCTGCCCGTCGGAGGACAACCTGATGGACTGGCGCGCCTGGGTGCGCGGGCCCGAGGGCACGCCCTTCGAGCGGGGCGTCTTCGAGCTCGAGATCAAGGCGTGCGGCCAGTACCCGCTCGCGCCGCCCACCGTCCGCATGGTCACGCCCATCTTCCACCCGAACATCCACGGCGTCTCCGGCGAGATCTGCCTCGACATCCTCAAGCAGGAGTGGAGCCCGGCCTGGACCCTCGCGTCCGCGTGCACGGCGATCCGCGCGCTCCTCTCGGCGCCGAACCCGGACAGCCCGCTCAACTGCGACGCGGGCAACGTCATGCGCGCGGGCGACATGGACGGCTTCCGGGCCACGGCGCGCCAGTGCGTCGAGGACCACGCGCGCGGCGGCATGCCGAGCCGGGACGCGCTCGGCGACCTCGCGGCGCCGGGCAAGGCCGCGGCGCCGCCGGGCCGCTGCTCGACGTGGACGGCGATCCTCGTCGTGCTCGTACCCGTCCTCTGGGCCCTCTCCGCCATCTAGGACGGCGCAGTGGTTCTCTAACGCGGCGCGCGCGCGAGCGCGGCTAGTCTTAGACCCGCGACCCCCCGCGAAGGAAATTGCCACTGATTTGAGAGCTCGCGCCACTCAAGTCTCACACCGGGCAGCGTCGTCGCGCCGTCAACCGTGCGCGCAATGGCCCAGCGATCGTCGGTCTTCGGCGACGGCATGATGCGCGACACGCGCATCGACGAGGACGACGACTTCGCGACTTTATACGGCGACGGCGCCGGCGACGCCGTGGAGCACAGCGGCTGGCGCACGAGCGACGCGCCGGCGTCGCTGGCGGCCTGCGACGGCGACTTCGACGAGGAGCTGACGGGCCCCGCGTCGCTGGAGACGGCGGGCGAGATGGAGGACGACGCGGACGACTACGGCTTCCGCGACGACGGCCGCGGCGGCGGCGACGACGGCGGCGCGCCGCCCGAGAGCGACGACGAGTCCATCGCGTCCGAGGTCGCGCGCGCGGACGCGCGCGAGTACGAGCGCGCGCGCGCCGAGGAGCGCGTCCTCGACGGCGACGCGGACTTCGAGGGCGAGGATCTGTACAGCCCCGCGGGCGACGAGACCGAGGCGTTCGAGGACGGCTTCGACCGCGCCGAGTCGCCGCCCCTGCGCTACGAGGTCGCGCTCGGGCGCCGCGGCGACGCGGCGACGTCGCCGCCGCGGGGCCTGGAGCGGCGCACGGAGGCGCGGGACCTGCTCGCGTCCGTCGTCGCGTCCGCATTCTGGCGCCACGACGAGACGCGGCTGCTCCTCGCGTTCGTCCGCTGGCTCGAGGTCGCCGCGGCGCACGCCATGGGCGGCGAGGCGGCGGCGGGCGACGACCCGGCGCCGGCGCCGACGCGCGCGGGCCGGCCGCCGCTGCCGCCGCCGCCGCCGCTCGCGCGGCCGGCCGACGACGACGAGCCGCCCGAGGCCTGGGTGTCCGACTCGCCGCTCGACACGCCCGAGGGCTCCGACGACTTCGCCGACGTGAGCCCCTGGTCCGAGGACGCGTCGTCCCCGACGCCGACGGAGCTCGCGCGGCTCGAGGCGTCCGAGGCGGGCCGCCGCGCGCAAACAGACGACCGCGACGCGGAGCTCGAGGCCCAGGAGCGCGCGCTCGCGCGGCGCGAGCAGGACATGGACGACCGCGTCGCCGCGCTCGAGGCCATGGAGCGCGACCTCGCGGGCCGCCGGTCCGAGCTCTCCGCGGCGCGGCGGGCGCTCGCGTCCACCGCCGTCGCGCGCGCCGCGCGCGCCGCCGTCGACCGGCGCGCGGCGCGCCGCCTGGCGCTCCGGGGCGCCTTCGGCCTCCTCCGGCCCGAGGCGCCGCCGCCGCCGCCCCCGTCGCCGAAGGCCAACGGCGCGAACGGGGCCGCGTCGCCGAACGAGTGGGCCGAGGCCGTGACGTTCGCCGCCGCCGCGCACCTCGAGCGCGCGACGGCCGTGAACCGCGAGCTCAAGAAGCGCAACCGGACGACGCGGCGGCGCGCGAGCCGCCTGGCCGTCGCCGTGCTCGAGCGGCACCGGCGCGAGTTCCTCCGGCGCCACGCCGTCGGCTTCGCGTTCTCGGAGTGGGCCGCGACGCTCGCGCTCGCGCCCGTGCGCGCGTCGCGCGAGGCGTCGCGCCTCCGCGAGGCCATCATCGCGCTGGAGAACGGCAACTCGGCGGCCCTCGACGCCGTCTTCAGCCACTATTCCGTGGCCGCGCCGGCGCGGTCGTCGGACGCGAAGCTCCCCAACGGCCGCGCGCGGCCCCGGTGGCACGCGGCCAAGCCCCTCGCCCTCGCCGGGACCGCGCGCCTCAAGTCGCGGCCCCACGCCGTGCTGTCGCTCTGCCTGCCCCTCGAGCGGCTCTGGGCGCTCACGCGCGACTTCGGCGTCGCGCCGGCGTTGGCGTCGTACGCGTACCTCATGCAGCTCGCGCACGACGTGCTCCACAGCAAGCGCATGCGCACGGACGTCGGGCGCGTCGACCCGGACGCCAACGCCCTCGACCGCGACCAGTTCGCGAACGTCCTGGCCCGGCTGGCGCTCCACGCGGCTCCTCCCGACGACCTCGCGGACCCGCCCCACACCGTCGCGCACGCCGTCGACCGCATGCTCGTCGCCATGGAGTGCTCCGGGGGGCTCGCGAAGATCGGGCTCCACACGAAGCGCTTCCAGCTCACGACCGCGAAGCGGACCGCGCGGCGGCCGGGCTCCCGGAGCCCGTCCCCGGGGAGCCCGACCCGGCGGTCGCCCCGGTCGCCCTAGGCGCCTAGAGGCGTGTGTGTGACGTCGTCGTCTCTCGGCGTTGTTTGCGCGCACCCGCCAGTGCTGCCGAGTTGGTTTTTTGTTTTTAGGGTGCCGAAGCGAAGGTGGCCCGGGCTCCCACCGCGGGGACGCCACCGGGCCGAGGTGGGGCCGCCTAGGACGACTCCGCCGCGGGCGCGGGCGTCGCCGCGGCCTTGGCGGCGGCCTTGCGCTCGGTCTTGAGCTTGGCCTTGGACTTGCGGGCCTCGGCCTGGTCGGCGAGCGCCTTCTCGCGCGCCTTCTCGCCCTTGAGCTTGTGGATCGACTCCATGAGCACGCGCTTGTTCTTGAACTGGTTGCCCTTGGCGCGCATGTAGAGGTCGTGGTAGAGGTGGTGGTCGATCTTCTTCGCCTCGCGGTACTTGCGGAGCAGGCGGCGGAGCACGCGCTGGCGCCGCATCCAGAGGACCTTCATGGGCATGCGCGCGTTCGCCGTACCCTTGCGCTTGCCGAGGCCCGTGTGGCGGCCCTTGCGCTTCGCGTCGAGGTGGCGCTGGCAGCGGCTCCGCGAGTGCACGACGACGGGCTTGCGGATGACGAAGCCGTCCTTGATGAGCTTGCGGATGTTCTGGCGCGAGTTCGCCATCGAGATCTCGTTCGTCTCGTTGGGGTCCATCCACACGCGGTTCTTGCCCGCCTTGAGCACGGACGCGGCCAACCGCTTCTGGAGCGAGAGGGACGACATCTTTGCCTACGCGAAGGGGGCGGGTCGGGGACCGGCGTGGGGGCGCGCGCGTCGAGCGGCTCTCTCTGCGTCGACGACGGCGGCGGCGGTGGCGGCGCGGCGGCATCAGAAGAGCTGGCGTCGAAACGCCGCGTCCCGTGTGTCGCTGCGTCGTCAGCCCCGTCTCCGCCGCCGTCCCCGGCACCTCCGGCGGGCCCGCTGCGACTTGCGCGTGGGAGCCTCCGCCGCGCAGGACGTGGAGCTGCCGCGTCGCCAGGGAGTGACCCCCGACACCGCGTAAGCCCGTCGTTCACACGCGTCGTCGTACCCGCACGTCTGTCGCCGTGGAACCACCGTCAGGGCCCTCTCGTGGGCGCGCGCCGCCACACGTCGGACGCTGCGCATTGCGGTCGATGTCCTCGCCCACAGTCGATGCTCGCTCGCCGAGGCCTCCCAAGACTAACCCTCACTTTTTGGCCGGGGGTCAACTTGCAGTGTATATAATAGCCGCAAACTCGCAATATGGGGCAGCCCTAGCGCGAACGCGATGCGGCGTATGTGGCCGCTCGTCGTCGCGCTCCTGCGCGCGCAAGACCCACAACCAATAAAAAAGATGAGCTTCCGCGAGAAGCAGCGCGAGTGGCGGAAGCGCGAGATGGAGCTGCGGCGCGACAAGCCCTGGCAGTTCACGCCGCGGCCGTCGAGCGACCCGACCCCAAAACCGACGCCGGCGCCGGCCACGGGCAGGCCGACGGTGGCGCCGACGCCGCGGCCGACGGCCGCGCCGGTCACGGGCAAGCCGAGCCACGCGCCCACGCGGCCGACCTCGCATCCGACGCTCGGGCCGTCGTCATCGCCGCCGTCCGGCGCGCCGTCGCCCGCGCCGTCGCCCGCGCCCACGGCGGTTTCCGAGCGCGCCGCCCGCGTCCGCGACCGGCCGAACGTCGTCGCCTGCGAGCGCGGCGTCTGGGCCGCGTTCGCGAGCGCGAAGACGCGGCGCCACTGCTTCCGGGCCAACTACGCGTACCGGAAGCGCGCGGGCCGCCGCGAGGCGTTGCCCGTCGCGGGCCGCTACCGCAACGCGCGCTTCACGGCGAGCAAATACGGCGCGCTGCCCCTGCCCGTCGACGTGAAGCGGCTCGCGGCCGCGAGCCTCGGGGGCTACGCGGCGTGCAACCCGTCGATCGCGCGGCTCCCGGCGGCCGTCGCCGGCAAGCTCCGGCGTTTCTACGGCAACGCGACCTACGTGGCCACCGTGCGCCACAGCTACGCCCAGTGCTACTTGCTGGGCTACGCGGAGATGGCCGAGCGCACGGACGGCGCTTTGGACCTCCGGCGCCACTCGTCGGTGCTCGTGCTCGACGCGGACCTCTGCGTGCTCGCCGTCGCGGGCTACGCCAACGCGACGCGGCGGCGCGACGCCGAGTGGCACGCCGAGGACGTGCGGCTCCTCGCGTTCCGCGGGAAAGTCGTCGCGACGGCCGTGCTCACTCCGGAGCCCGCTTTAAAAGACGTCGTCGCGCAGCGCTTCGGCGTCTACGAGCTCGTCCTGGGCCTGGGCGACGACGGCCGGCTCCTCGCGTCCTTCGAGGCGGCGCCGGCGGCCTTCTTCGACGACCCGGCGCTCGGCGTGCCCGTGGCGACGCGCGTCCGCAACGTCGGCGTCGCGCCCTTGAGACCGCCGGGCGCGCGCCGCGCGACGCTGGCCTTCGTGACCTTCCTCGGGCGCGACGCGCCCCGCCTGGAGCCGACTCTTTCCGCCGCCGTCGCGGGCTGCCGGAACGCGACGCGCGACGGCTGCCGGGTTTTGGGGAACCGCTTCCGGAAGGGCCTCTCCGCGGGCCGCTTCCACTGGCTCCACAACAACGTGAACCCGCTCCTCCTCCACAAACGCGGCCTCCTCCTCGCCGTGGGCCACGACCACGGGCCCGAGCGGCGCATCACCCACGGCGAGGCGAGCGTCAACGGCTACCGGGAAATCGCGAAGACGATGTCCTACAACACGTACCTCCACTACTTCCTCCTCTACAACGCGACGCCGCCCTACGCCAAGGTCGCCCAGTCGCCGGCCTTCTGCTTCCCCGCGGCGCCCGACGACGCGAAGCGCTGCGACCTCGTCCAGTTCGTGACGTCGCTCACGCACGGCGAGACGCCCGACGACGTCCTCCTGGGCTTCGGCGTCAACGACTGCGAGGCCGCCTACGCGACGCTCCCCGTGGACCTCGTCGTCGCCTTCAGCCTCGGCTGCCGGGACCCGAAAGCGCGCGGCGCGGCGCTCCGCCACCTCGCCGCCGCGGCGGACCGCGTCGCCGCCGCGGACCGCGCGTGGAACGCGACGGCGGCCGGGGCCTGGGAGGCGCTCCTCTTCCCCGAGGGGCGCCACGGCGACGAGCGCGCACCGACCGTCCCGGAGGTGCCGGAATACGCGTTCCGATAGGAGGGCGGGTCTCTTCCGTCGGAGAGGGGTGGGAGGGCTCGAATCGGCGAGCTGAGGCGAGCGCCGAGTCAAAAAATCGAGCAACCGCCTCACGCGCCCCCGCCTTTCACGCCGCCGTCGCCGCCCCCGCCTTTCACGCCGCCGTCGCCGCCCCCGCCTTTCACGCCGCCGTCGCCGCCCCCGCCTTTCACGCCGCCCCCGCCTTCGTTCCTGATGTCGAAACGAACCCGCAAGACACTGTGCAAGACCTCCGCCATGGACGCCGTGCGCGCCGCCTCTCGGGGCGACCTCGAAGACCTGCTCGAGAAATTGGTAGAGAACGACCCGAAATTAGAGCAGCGCGTCGTCGCCGAGCTGACCGCGGCGCGCGCGCCGGCCAAGCCGCGGGTCGCCGAGACGTCGACGCTGACCGTCGGCGGCACGGGCGCGTTCGACAAGCTGAACGAGACGCTGCTCCTCGACGTCCTGCTCCGGCTCGAGCCGCACGAGCGCCTCGAGTCCATGTCCTCCTGCAAGGGGTGGCTCGCGCTGCGCAAGGACCCGACGTTTTGGCCGGCGCTGCAATTCCGCACGCGCCAGGTGTCGTCGTGGGAACTCCCGGGAAATCCCGGGGGCGGAACGCGTATCCGAACCGTTTCCCCGCGGACTCTGAACAAGCTCGTCGGGCCGGCGCGCGTCCTGCCTCCGCTGACGAATCTCGTGAGCCTGGACGTCCAGGATTCCACCTCCAACAAGCACGGCATCGGCGCCGCGGACTGGTCGCAGCTTCTCCGGAACCTCCGCGTGCCCCCGGACCAGCTCCGCGAACTCTCGATCCGCGGAAAGGTCTTCAAGATCACGTTCTACAAAGCGTGCGCGAAGCTCTTCGGATCCGGCCTGCGGGAGCTGCGCGTCGGCGTCCACAACGGGGGCGTCGACTGGGGCTGCATCAGTACTATCCTCGCCTCCTGCCCGCGCCTCGCGAAGCTCACGATCCCCGCGCGGGCCGTGGCCGCCATCGACGCCGTCAACGAGGAGCTTCGGAAAGCGCGGGGCGGCGGCGCGGCGGCCCTCGAGTCGCTCACGATCGAGGCCGACAGTTCCTCTTATGGATACGGCGTCTTCCGGCCCGCCGACGTCTTCAGCACGGTCCAGCGCCACTTCCCGGAGATATCGGAGCTCCGCACGCGGCTGGACCTCGACGCCTCCGTCATCTCATCGTACATCGCCGTGAAACGATTGGCCATCCGATGCCGAGCGCAAAATTACACTGTGGAAGAATCGGATGACGCGCTCGTTGCGCGAGCCTTCGCGCTCGCACAGACTATCACGGCGTCGTGCCCCAAGCTCGAGAGCCTCGATGTGGCCTTTGAGACCTCGCGGGCCTCCTCCTCCAACATTGCTGCCGTGCGTGCCTTCCTGCAGGCCTGCCCGAGCAACGCTCTTCTTCGTGAGCTGCGATTGAGGAATGTCGAGCTTGCCGGCCCTCGCGAGCCCGGGCACGTCGCTCCGTCGGTCATCGCCGCGCTCATCGGTGACGTGTCCAAGTCGCCCGGGGCTCCGCGGCACAGCATGAAGCTCGACTTGATTCTCGGAGAGCGGCATGCGTACGGGCAGAACGGCAACGAGCACGGGAGCCGCACGCACGGCGGCATCGATGTCGCCAAGGCCGTCGCCGAGGCGGCGATTCCGAAGGCAAAGGCGCGGCCGGACCTCCGCGTCCGCGTCGGCTACATCAAGCCCGGCGGCTATGACTTCGCAAAGAAGCACTTCTTCGACATGGACGCGAATCTGCAGTGGCTCTAGTCACGCAGGTCGCGGCTCGTAAGACCTACGTAAGACCCTAAGCACGATTGTCGTGGCAGGCCTACCGGTGGGCTAGACCGGTGGGCGGCTGTAGCCTGGCTGTAGGCGGCCTGGCTTCAGGAGGCTTGGCTGTCGGCGGCTCCAACGACGCGCGGACTTGCCAAGGCTTGGCCGTGCTGCCACTGCTGGGCGCCCAGGCGGCCGCGGGATCGTTCCAGAGCCGCAGTTGTGGACGCCCACACCGTCGTGCGCGCGCGCAACGGCGTCGGTGATGTCCGCGCCCTACAAGTTCGCCGGATGCTTGACGGGCACGCGTCGGTCCGCGCCGTCGGCAAGCGACAGCGACGATGAGCTGGCTTGCGTTCCAAAGCCGCGGCGGCGGCGCGTCGTGGTCGAGTCGAGCTCGTCCGATAGCGACGAGCCGATCGCGAAGAGCGTGAGGAAGAAGAAGAAGCTCCAGGGCGGCTCTGCCGCGAACGCGAGGAGCGCCGACGCGCCGAAGCGCGCGAAGGCCGCCGCCACGCCGCGGCCGACGCCCGCGCCCGCGGTCGACGCGATGGCGTCGTCCGAGGACAACAAGAAGCCAGCCACCGTCGCGAGCACGATGAGCTCGCTGACGGCGCCGTCGCGGCGCGCGTCCGCGGCCGACGCGATCATCGACGAGCTCCTGGACGACGCGCCGCCCGCGACCGCGAAGCCGCCGCCCGCGCCCGCGCCCGCGCCCGCGGCCGCGAAGCCGCCGCCGCCCCCGACGAAGCCCGCGGACCCGCCGCAGCAACGACCGGGCGGCTTCCCGGCG